CCACCATGCCCAGCTAATGTTTTGTATTTTTAGTAGAGACGGGGTTTCACCATGTTGACCAGGATGGTCTCGATCTCTTGACCTCATGATCCACCCGCCTCGGCCTCCCAAAGTGCTAGGATTACAGGCCTGAGCCACCGCGCCCGGCCGAGACCTGTCTTGATAAATAAATAAATAATTTTCTTAAAATTTAACAATTTGTAGTTGACTTAAAATTTTTTTTTAATTAAAAAAATTATGTACTAACCAGCTTAGAGAAGAGACGTAAAATATTTATGTTATGTTTAGTAACATAAAGCTGCAAAAGGAGTATATTGCTGGGTCATATGTTTAACTTTTTGTGAAGCTGCCGAAGTTTTCCACAGCGTTGCACCATTTTATATTCCTACCAGCAATGTGTGAAGTTTCTAATTTCTCCACATCATCACCAACACTTTTATTGTTCATCATTCAGATTTTAGCCATCCTAGTGAATGTGAAATTATATCTCATTGTGGCTTTGATTTACATTTCCCTAATGACTAATAATGTTGAGCATTTTTTCATTTACCTATTGGCCATTTATACATCTTTGGATAAATGGCTATTCAAATCCTTTTTCCGAAATTTGTAATTGGGTTATTGTCTTTTTCTTGTTTTATTTGTTTATTTTTTGAGACAGGGTCTCACTCTGTTACTCAGACTGGAGTGCAGTGGCATGATCTTAGCTCACTGCAACCTCTGCCTCCCAGACTCAAGTGATCCTCCCACCTCAGCCTCCCACGTAGCTGGGACTACAGGCATGCATCACCATGCCTGGCTAATTTTTGTATTTTTTTGTAGAGCCGTGGTTTTGCCATGTTGTTTGCCTAGGCTGGTTGTGAACTGCTGAGTCCAAGTGATCCACCTACCTCAGCCTCCCATAGTGTTGGAATTACAGGCATGAGCCACTGTGCCCGGCCTTTTTATTGTTGAGATGTAAGAATTTTTTTTATATATTCTAGATACTTAACAGATATATGATTTGCAAATATTTTATCTCATTCTGCAGGTTAGTTGTCTTTTCACTTTCTAATAGTGTCCTTTGAAGCTCGAAAGTTTGAAATTTTGATAAAGTCCCATTTATTTTGTTTGTGCTGTTGGCGTCATGTCTAACAAATCATTGCCTGATACAGTATCATGAAGATTTACACCTACGTTTTCTTCTAAGAATTTTGTTGTTTTTAGCTCCTACACTTAGGTCTTTGATTTTATGGGATGATTTTGTATATAGTATGAGATAGAGGTCCAATTTCATTCTTTTCCATGCACAATTGTTGCAGCACCATTCATTGGAAAAAGTATTATTTCCCTCATTCAATCCTCTTGGCACCATTGCCAAAACTCATTGAACCTTAAATATATCAATTTATTTCTGGACTTTCAATGTTACTTCATTCTTCTATATGTCTGTCCTTATGCCAGTATCAAAAGGCTTGATAATTTTAGCTTTGTAGTAGGTTTTGAAATTGGGAAGTATGACTCCTCCAATTTCATTCTCTTTTTTCAAGATTGCTTGGCATATACTGGGTCCCTTGCATTGCCATGTGAATTTTAGGGTCAGCTTCTCAATTTCTACAAAAAAGCCATCTAAAATTTAATTGGAATTCCTTTGAATCTGTAGATCAAGGAGTATTGCCACCTTAACCATATTGTATTCCAATCCATGGACATCGAATGTCTTTCCACTTATTTAGAGCTTTTTAATGTCTTTCAACTGAATTTTTTTGTAGGTTTACTGTTTTTTTATTTTGTATTTTTCTTTAATTTTTAATTTTTTAGAGATGGGGTTTCACCATGTTGCCCAGGCTAGTCTTGAACTCCTGGGCAACATGATGAAAACCCATCTCTAATGGGGTTAGAGCCACTCACCTTGGCCTCCCAAAGTGCTGAGATTACAAGTGTGAGCCACCTTGCCTGGCCTTATTTTGTTTTTTAAATTAGAGACAGGGTCCCACTATGTGTGCCCAGGCTGGTGTTAAACTCTTGGTCTCAAGCAATGCTCCCACCTTGGCCTCCCAAAGTGTTAGGATTATAGGCATGAGCCACTGTGCCAAGCTGTGTTTTGTGGTTTTCATTGTACAAATCTTGCATTTCTCTTGTTAAACTTACTCATAAGTTTTTTTTTTTAATTTTTTTGAGACAGGGTCTTACTTTGTCACTTAGGCTGGAGTGGTGCAATCATAGCTCACTGTAACCTCCAACTCCTAGGCTCAAATGATCCTCCCACCTCAGCCTCCTGAATAGCTAGAACTACAGGTGTATGCCACCATGCCTGGCCAATTTTTTCTCTCCTGCCTTGATCTCCTAAAGTGCTAGGATTCCAGGTATAAACCACCATGCCTGGCCTCTTTCTTTTTTCAGTTAGAAATGGGCTCTTGCTATGTTGACCAGGCTGGTCTCAGACTCCAGGCCTCAAGGGATCCTCGCTCTTAAAGTGCTGGGTTTACAGGTATGAGCCACAACACCTGGCAAGTCTTTCATCATTAAGTATGTTGTTAGCTTTTGTATTTTGGTAGAGGTACTTTAATCACAGTGAGGAAGTTACCTTCTATTCCTAGATCGTTGAGTGTTTTTTAAATCATGAAAGAGTGTTTGATTTTATCAAATATTTTGCCTATTGAGATGATCAGGCGGTTTTTGTCTCCTATTCTGTTAATATGGTGTATAACATTGATTGATTTTCTTTTTTTTGAGACGGAGTTTCGCTCTCGTTACCCAGGCTGGAGTGCAATGGCGCGATCTCGGCTCACCGCAACCTCCGCCTCCTGGGTTCAGGCAATTCTCCTGCCTCAGCCTCTTGAGTAGCTGGGATTACAGGCACGCGCCACCATGCCCAGCTAATTTTTTTTGTATTTTTAGTAGAGACGGGGTTTCACCATGTTGACCAGCATGGTCTCGATCTCTTGACCTCGTGATCCACCCGCCTCGGCCTCCCAAAGTGCTGGGATTACAGGCTTGAGCCACCGCGCCCGGCCATGATTGATTTTCATTTGTTAAACCAATCATGCATTTCTGGGATAAATCCCAGTTGGTCATAGAGCATAATCTTTTTACA